CTTTTCTGCTCTGCCTTCGGCTGATAGTTCGCTTTACTTTTCCGGCTGCTTTGTTGCTTTCTGTTGCTTTGGCAGCTGTGTACTTCTTGCTTTCCACAGTATTGCCTTGAGCTGCACAGTGCTTGCATGTGGAGGCTGTGCCTCCCACCTCTTCAGCTTTCTTTTAAGCCTTGCGACGCTTGCTTGCGATCAAAACACGCAGGCGAATGCTAATACAACCGATCAGGTTGCAGACAAACTTTTTCTGACAACAGCTGAGAATAGCAGAGAGGGGTTTAGGGGGTATTGAAAAGGGAACAACACATCTTGCGTTCTCCCATGTGCCCTCCTTGTTCTCTTTATGGTTGTTCCTTGAACGAGGAAGGCTCACAGCGACCAGATGAAAATGGCGAGACGGCCTGCACCTGTCCTCGTTCCTCCTCCTGCTTGCTTGCTTCCATGGCGTTGTTGCTGCTCTGGTAAATATGTAGACTGAAACAGAACGGTCGACAGGATCAAGAGGGACACGGCACAGTTCGAGACCAAATAAGTTTCTCCTTTCCTTTTCACACTTCTAGCAAATTGATCGGTTCAAACGTCTGAAATGTGCTCCGTGCCGCAGTTCAATCGTTTCAACATGGTTTCAACCAGCGGTAAGAAACTTGTGCTATAAGACAAGAGATGCTTTGCCTTTTATGCGCTTCGCCCCGTTTCACTCGGTTCAGTGTTTTTAAATTGTTGGAACTGTTTGCTAGTGAGCGTTGAAGCCTTGGTCCTCGTTGTCGACGATCTACTGGATACAAGCTAGTAGAACTGTCGTTGAACTCCATGCTGATTGCATGGCTATCCTCTTCCCAGTTGCGAGAGGTGGCATCTGCCCCATCTTTTTCATTGAAACCCTGCACGAAATGTGTCGGAGCGCTGCGCAGTGCCCTTCCACCGGCTCTGTCGTCCTATCGTCACGCAAACACATCGATTGTGTCCACATCACTGTTACATCGCTGGTTGGTTGCAATACACATGGAGATGTGGAGGCCGTCTGCCATGCTGAGGGCTGCATGTTCTGCAAGCATCCATGGACTGCAAGCACAGTTTGTGCACCAACCTGTTTTTTCCAGCTTGAAAGTCACACTGCAAACTACTATCCCTTGGCGCCTGCCCGTCTTCCTACTGTCGAGTACGTACATTCCGGAACGGGGTAGCCTTGTCGAAGAATGCTACTGGGTCATCAGCCACGTGCTCATGCTATATTCCGTATTAGCCATCTGCAAACACGTTTTTGTGACGTTCGATGTTGTTCTAATGCCGACTGCGCAGAAGACGCATGGCATGATCCGGCATGATCAACTGGTGTGGTTGGCGAGTCCCGAGGCCAACTTGAGTTCCCAGCCGCCTCGTGAGAGCAACATTGCACGAACAATCTGCTCATTTGTACATTTTTCGTTTGCCTCCGGCCAAACTCGTGTAGCCGACTCAAACTTTTGAACTAGCAATTCATCCTCACGCCAACAGGGCAGCTTTGCTCCCGTGCACCGACATGCTCCTCAGCCCGTGCCAAGTCGTGCTCAAAAAATCTAACCGTTTAAAGTTTGGAGTGTTGAAGTAATTTTAGATTTTGTAAACATGTGAACTTGAGCCGTTTGAAGTTCAATTCTGTCCGAAGACTCTGGAATTGGAGCTTTGCCCAACCCGGAGTTACCGAGAACATCTGCAATTCAACCATGTTACGCATTCAGTAATTTTAGACGATCTTCAACTTTCGCGGATATCTACACTGCTTGTAACATGCTCTTTTGCACATTTAAAAAATTTTAAACGTTTTGCATGTTCTGAGTTTTCGAGATGTCTCGAATGTTCCGCCCGCCTCGGCTCCTCAGGTGCAGGGGCCGGATGAAATGGCAAAGCCTTCTGTATCACTCAGGAAATCTGTACAGGTCACCGCTATATTGAGATTTCTTTGAGCAGGACTCCCACGATTCAACAGGTGCAGGGGCGACATGTCAGCGTGCGGCAAGGAGGAAAGGTTTAGGGACCAGCACTGCCGCGCGCGGCAGGGGACGGGGGACTGGGCAGGGGGGAGGGAGGGGGCGGGAGGCTGCAAAAAAAACAGCAAAAACAGCAGGAATGGCAAGTGGGTGGTAAACTAATGCAAAAAGCGGTGTCTCCAAACCTTCGGACTGCAGGGAGGAGGATTAGGTGGAGGGTATTACTTGAGGTAACCCCCAAGACGCCTGGGCCTGTGGCCTCGGCGGACCGTCACCTCTGGAATCGGGATGTTACCCGGTTACACTCGAACCGAGCCTAAAACCCCTTCGCTCTGCCAGGAATCGACCGGCCCTCGCAGCCGAGTGGAGGCTCTGTGCAGGGTTGTGGAAAAGCCCGTGTGTGTGAGTGTGTGCGGCCGTCGAGCCATAATTTCGCACCTGCCGTCTTCGACTGGTAGCGGAGCCTCGGTGAAATCCTTGGGGCGCTCAGCGGCGCCTGGGCGACTTGGTGCTGTTCCTGACGTCGATTCAGGAGGTCTTCTACGGCATATCTCGGCGGCGTCCGGGACCTCGTGCATTACCCGATTCAGGAGGGTGGGATCGGAAGCGGCTTGAGTCAGCAAGCCCTGCATTTTTCAGAGCCTCATGGCCGGCCTGAGCTCGTACTATGAGACGCTTGGGGAGACTTGGGAGTTTGAGGAGTCGCGTTCGGGGGACTCTGGGAACTCAAGCGAGACGCGTCTCCGCAACAGATGGTCGCGGCCGGGCAGTGCCGCCACCGGCGGCATCAGCAGCGACTCCACTTTTGAGGAAAAGGCTGCGGCTGGAGACGAGGCTGGAGCTCGCATTGGGATGGGTGGCTCCTGCTACTGCTAGGTTTGATGCTTGGCAGGACGATGAGAATTGGAGCTACACTGGCCGTCGACGAAGAGGGCCACACGATCGTCGTCGGAACAATGAGAACTGGAGCAACACTGGCTCTGGTGGAGAGCTAGGACGACGAGGTGGCCGTGGCGACCATGAGAACTGGAGCTGGAAGGATGGCTGCGGGCCCGACGGCAGTGTGGAGTGTGGAGTTTTGGATCGGGGGAGAAGGAAGCCAGCTCCCCAGCGAGCTGGTTGGGCCGCGGATGATGGTCCAGTTGAAGGAGAGGGCCGCGCAATTGGTCAAGCACTTGAGCAATGAGGACGTGAACCGGCCCGACGGGAAGAAGATCATTCTGGAGGCCCTGGAAAGGTCTCCGTTGATCCGGCAGCTGGACAAGCACCGCGTGGACGAGCACAGGCGCAGAATGATGACGCTGAACAGGGCGCCGGGCGAGTCTATGGAGAGCTATGTCACGAGGGCCTCGATCTACAGGACACACCTGCTGGCCATGGACGAGAACATGGCGATGGGTGAAGCTTTCTTCGTCGGCCACCTGGTCGACCACGCCCATTTGACGCGGCGAGACTGGGCCATGCTCAAGACGAAAGCGGACAGCGAGACCGACGAGCTCCTCGTGACCAACGTTGATAGAGCTGGCCTGCGAATTGGAAGGCGAGAGCGGCTACCCGATCGGAGCCTCAGAGGGGAATGCGGCTCGCAATGGCGAGGAGTGGCTTCAACGTGGAGAAGGACGTAGCGGCCCTGACTCCGAACAAGCCGCCTCGGGGAGTGTTCGCGGTCGAGGTTCCGGGCTATGATTGTCGCGATGTGGACAGCATCCACAGTTGGTCATCTGGTCCTGTCTCCCAGCCTTCCTCTCTTAACAGTCAGGACACTGAACCGAAGGACGCTGCGCCGCAGATCGAGGCGGCATCTGCGTCGGAGCCTGCCTTTTGTCACCAGATGCTGGCTCGCGGCGCGCAAGCTGCACGCGGGACGTTGCGCCCTACCAAGTGGGGCCGCTGCGGGAAGTGTATGGAACCGATGCGCTTCCATGTTTTCCAGTCCGGCCCAAAACAAGGCATGCCAGTTTTGATGTGTAAGCAGTGGTTCGGTTGCGATTATGGATCCAGCCGCAAGTGCTGGGGGCAGAAGCCGTTCCCGCGAGATCGTATTCCGGACCTCTCTGCGTCAGAGCAGAAATTGTGCAGCGATGTAAGAGCCCAGCTCTGGCTTAACCAGGCTTGACTCTCGACGACGGCTGCAGCGACGGATCGTGCAACAATGCATCCTGCTGCACCCTGCGCCCCAAACCCAAATCCCTCCACACGTCGGTCTGCACTTTCTTTGAAGCACTGCTAGCCCAAGATACTTCAACATGTTCGACACAATGTCCGTTGCGTTTTGCGTCTCAGAACTGCTGCTCCTGCTCTGGGCGACGGACTACTTGCGCGGCCATGGCCGGCTCCTCCACGAGAAGCAAAGGCAAGCAGCGCAGTCACACGTGCAAAGTCTGCGGAAAGTGCGGACATCGCCTGGAGACCTGTCCCTCAGCAGCTGCCAAGTTGATCCGCTCACTCAAGAACCAAGTGAAGGCCACGTTGAAGACGAGTATCTGTTTTGGGTCACTTCTCATGTTACTGTAGTAGTAGATGCTAGATGTCTTTCGCCTTGATGCAGGAGCTGACGAGCAGCGGTGCATCCAAGAAAAGCAACGCAGGCAGAGTGGAGAAGAAGCATCGCACTTCCGCCCAGGATTCTCGCGCGAAGAAGCGCAAGGCCGCAGCTTTAGCTTACACGGGCAAAAGCGTCTCCAATCCCTGTCCGGCAGCACTACGCAGGACTCATGCCTGTGCAAAACCTTGGTTTTTCCCGCCTTAATCCGCAGCCCCGCAGCATGCGAGGAAGAGGCCTGCCGAACCCGTGCTCACGCAGCCTGTGACTACGGATGCCGAAGCTGAGGAATGGTTGGTGGACACGGGCTTCATTCCGCCGATGAAGGAATGCGTTCACTGCTGCGCACGTCGCTTGAAGATGATTGCACGGACGACGCATCACCCCTCACACTGGAGGCTGATGCAATGCTGTTCCCAAACTTACTTAAACACTCACAAACAAAACTTGAAGCTAGAAATGCACACCTCGCAAGGTGTCTGGCCTGTGGAAAAATGCAGTACCTCCTCCAGCACTCTCGCTTCTGTGGACTCAAGTGTGATGCTGTGACTTTGGTTCGCTTACTCCGTGCCTACGTTGGGATGGCCTACAACCGCGCGCCTCGCAGCGGGGACTTGGTGCAACAGTGCCATGTTGGCAGGACACAGGCGATGGGCTGCTCCTTAAACCCTCTACCCTACAGAGTAGTTGTTGGCTTAAGTCCTCCCATCTTGTGTAAAGCGAATAGGCTTTTAGAGAAATACAGAATTGAATAGGTTTTCTAGGGAAATACAAAGTTTAATAGGTTTTTAGACAAATAAAGAATTGAATAGGTTTTTCAAGAAATACAGAAATCAATAGGTTTTCTAAGGAAATGCAGGGTTTTATAGGTTTTTCAGAAATACAGAATTGAATAGGTTTTCTGAGGAAATACAGGGTTGAATAGGTTTTTAAAGAAATACAAAGTTTTCCAGCGAAATACAGGGTTGAAAGGACAAGATAATGTGATAAGTCTGAGCCCTGCAAAAACAGGCCGACCACTTCTTGGCCGTGCTCCGTGAGGTCGAAGCCGCGCGAGGGCGTAGCTGGAAGGCCAAGATTAGGGTATCCGGCCTTGTCGAAGTGGATGGAACATCCCTCGGAAAGTTTGCGGTTCGAGCTACCTGCAAGCGCTTCCAGCCGCAGATCAAAGCATTGACTGCGAAGCTGGCCCGCACCGGCAAAGTAATTCCTTCTGTGTTTTTTGTACACTACCAGGTTTTGGGAATTATGCGTCGGGGTGGCCCCCCAATCCTGGCCATTCCAGACTTGCCTGTGACAGTTCCTGGCAGCCGTCCTCCGACGGAAAGTTTTGAAGGCATCCGTCAAACGGGCTTGTTGCACAAAGTGCCTTTGGCCCGGCGCCCCTTTACGACAATTTTTTCCGATGGAAACCGAGCTTGGCAGACACTTGCGCAGCAGCTCCGCATGACATCGCATGCTGTCTGCCATCAAAGCAAAGAATGGACCAGAACTGTTCAAAACAAGCACTGGCGTGCTCGACACCTGCTCTGCGGAACGCAGACGCTGGATAGAGCGTGGCAATCCCTCAAGGACTTCGTGGGGCCAAAGGTCTCTCGAAAGACCGGCCACGGCCAGCATGCTCATGAAAGTTTCTTGGTGCGAGACCTGATCTCGCAATTCATGTATCGCCAAAGCATGGGCAACTTAGAGCCGGGTGTTTTCTTGCTTCGTCTTGGCGAGGCGTTCCGTGTTCTGGCAGATGCCCCATAAGCGGCTTCTGCTGCAGATTTTGACTTCAAGCTGGCATTTTCGAAGGCTGGGGCTTAGCCTGAACCCGCAACCCCTACTGCAGCAGCCCGTGTCATATAGTAGCCCGTAAAGCGAATAGGCTTTTAGAGAAATACAGAATTGAATAGGTTTTCTAGGGAAATACAAAGTTGAATAGGTTTTTAGAGAAATACAGAATTTTTCAAGAAATACAGAATTCAATAGGTTTTCTAAGGAAATACAGGGTTTAATAGGTTTTTAGAGAAATACAGAAATGAATAGGTTTTCTGAGGACCTGTTCTAATTCTTAAGGCCCCTAAATCATAGACCCGTGTGTTCTAGACCCCTTCTAGAACCTGTTCTAGGACCCCTTGACAAGGAACCCCTATTCTAACTGTTAAGGCCCCTTATATCCATAAATCCCGTATAGAGCCCGTACAGTAGCCCCTATAGACCCCTTAAAGGAAGCCAGTTCTAGTTCTTAAGGCCCTTAAAACATAGACCCGTCTGTTCTAGACCCCTTTTAGAACCCGTGCTAGGACCCCTTTAAAAGGAACCCCTATTCTAATTTTTAAGGCCCTTATATCCACACATCCCATATAGAGCCCCTATAGACTTGCCCGTGAACGAACCTTACACCCTGTACCGCTTGAAGCCTTGATAATAACCCTAGACCCTGGAACACAGCCTGGGTTCAGTGCTCCACTTCTGCACTCTGAAGCATGCCCGACGGGGCGCCGAGCATGCGAGATGACGAAAAGGCCACTGTCCGTAACAAACTACTTGCGACCAAGTACTCAAACAGCCTGCCCCCCAATGTAAGAAAAAAAAGCCTGATCTCTTGAAAACCCACCCCTGCCGATGTATTCTGCACTTCCATCGCCCAGTTCAATGCGAGCAAGTAGTCAAATAGCCTCCCCCCCCTCAAATAGGCATGCGTTGCCCGGAATGCTGAAAACCCACCCCTGCCGATGTTTTCTGCACGTCCATGACCGTTTTCAAGAAAAGCAACTAGGCAAATAGGCTCCCTCCTAAAATAGGCATGCCTTCACCGACATGCTCAAAACCCGCCCCTGCCGATGTTTTCTGCACGTCCGTCGATGAGAACCTGCCTTTGTACCACGCGCGGGAACGCGCCACGAACCACGTAGTTGGAGTGCGGCGCGTGCCCGCGCGTAGTTTCAGCCACTTTGGGCACTTTTTCGGTGGTGTGGGGGTGGGGGGGGGGATAATTACGTGCTTTTGGACTTCTGCCGGCCCAGAACGCCCAAGCTCGGTTTCAAATTGATGGTTTAGGGTTTCGGGCTTAGGGTGAGAGGATGCCGCGTGCAAGTTCGACTCTGGATAACCTCTGCGGCGGTTTGCTTGCACCGTGTGAAGAAGGGGCTGCAATGGGGCGTGACATGCGCGAGCCAGAAAACTTGGAATCATAACGGGATGCGCTCTTGCTGATTGCTATATGAAGTCTGCACTATCCAAGGCTCGCGAGCATGTTCCAGAGAATTGAGAATTCAGTCTGAGCCACCGCAACATGCTCGTGAAGATGCTGCAAGCCACAGCGGGCAAAGGTTGCCGCAACTTATTGACGAGATAGAAGGCCACTTGCTCCAGCAAACTGTGCGACCTCCCCAAGATGCATCGGGCTGGATGCAAGAAACTGCAAAATTGGAGCTGTATATGCAGGCCCTGTACGGCTGAAGTGTGCTTTGATGTGATTTCTTTAGTCTTTCGAATTCTGCTCCTTTCAATGAATGTCGGCAAACTGACAGGAGATGCAAGAACTCTTGACACAACACCTGGACGACGCCTTGCTGTTTAGACGAACCTGGATGTGAGCTCTTGTGCTTCACTTAGTAGGCGTTGCTGATGCATTGAAAAACACGACCTTTGTCCCGTTGCTCAGGACATTGCAGAGTCTGCGAACGGCCGCGCAATTCGTGCTGCTGGTGGTCGCGGCCGGGGCGGCAGGGTACACGGCAAGGTTCCCATCCGTGAACTTTCAGTCCTGCGTTCTTTGGCTGGAAAACTAGCCACTTGTGCCACTTCTTGTTGTCTTCTCATTGCAGCTCAGGCGGCGACAAAGACCTTAGATGGGCGAGACAGCAGCTCAAGAATTGAAATTTGGCGGCAGAGTGCAGTGAAGGCACACTCATACATGCTTGAGCTTCACCCGTTTGTGCCGGACGGTCGAGGAAGGTTTCAGGAGCATTGGTCGTTTTTAGATATTTCGGATCCTCGAGGCAGATGCCAAACATCACACTATGAATTGTCAAAGCTAATTTATGCTAAGATTACGGATGGTTCCGAAGCGAACTGCTTGCGACTGCCTGCGATCAGCTGGGACATTTTGGACAGAAGCTTCAGACTAAGCACATCAATCAACCAGCCAAGCGGAAGAAGTCTGTTTCCCTGACTCACAGGAGTCTCTGGAGAGATTGTGGGAAAATGCCTGGACAACAATCAGACGCTTTCTAAGGTGAGCGCGAGCATGCCCATCTTCAGCACCTTTTGGGAGATGAAGATTCCGAGAGAGCCCTGCTTGCCGAGATTCGGCAGGCACGCGATTCAGTTTGACGGGCTTTAGGCGCCAACGTTGTGAAAGATGGCTGTGATACTATGGCAAGTCTGGAAGGAATGATTTCTACGTCTGTTCCATTCCTCGCCATAGCCTGACAAAGCAGTGTAGCCCATTCCCCAGGCAGCTAGTCAATTCATCTGCCTCCAACTTCAAGAAATGCAACAGCCAGCAGCGAGCCTACCACAACTGGGCACATTTTTTGCATAGGCCGGTTGCCACCGGGAACGGGAGGTAACCTGCTAAAGCAGGAGCATCTTGCCCGGTGTGTAGAGCCCGCAAAGCAGAAACACAGTTAACAGGCCAGATGGTCATCAGGCGATGACTGATGCAGGTCACGGTTTCTAGCATAAGTTCTAGCAGTTGGCATACATCGCATGACCTGTGATGACAGGTAGAGTCCGCGTTGGAGCTGGAGAAGCGCAGACTGAGAAATCTCCAGAAGGAAAGTCATAAACGCGAGAGAAGCATGGCCCGCGCGGCTGAACGAGCTGGCGGCGGAGAACTTGGCAGCTTGAACATTGATGGCAATGCAAGAGCTCTCAAGGAGGTTTGTAGGGAAGATGGTTGGAGTTCGATGAACAGTTGAGTCATGTTGAGTCAATGTGGCAGCCTAGCCCAGCGATGCCCAGTGTCCCAGCACCTCCTCGCTTTTGCTTTGATGGCAGGTGGAAAGGCTGGAGGCAGAACTGGAAGTCTGGCAGATGAAAAATGCATCCTTAGAGAAACAGGTCGAGGAGTTGACGGCTAGGCTTCGGGATGCCATCCAAAGCCAGGAAAGGATGGTTTCCAGACATCGGCAGTTTCATACAAAGGTGGAGAGCGAAGATGCAGGAAAGCAAGAACAGGAACAGCGCCAGCGACAAGACTCTCAGATCCAGGAAGAGAGGGAACTTCGCTCTGAGATTCAGAGCTTATTGGACGCGCGGCGCAGCAGCGCCAGAAGCGCCGAGTCGACCATGAAAGAGCGAGCGCGTCGCTTGGAGGAGCTCCGCAGGCAACAAGCAGACACTTGGTGGCCTGGGTAGCGCCATTACTTTAGTTTGCACTGTTTACACCTTGAACCATGGTCGCTAGCAACCCTCGCGCGCCTAGTGTCAAGAATCATCTGTGAACTGGTCAGGAGAAAGAGGCCTGCCTCTCGCAGCTGAAGCTGACTGAGCAGCAGCTGCGGCGTCAATTTCGCATAGAGCACCGCAGGCCCGGCAGTACGAGAAGTGGCCAGCGTGGATCCAGGGCACCATCTTCGCCAAAGCGGCCGGCTGATAGGGGCAGAGAACCCACTTCTGGTCAGAACAAAGCCCAAGAACCCGATCAAGAAGCGCCGAGGCCAGGTTGAAGCCTCTCAGAGCACAGGGCATCACAGGGTGGACACTGTAGTATTGTTTTTGACGGTCTTCATGTATCGCTGTATCGACATTCGACGCCGCAATTTCGCAGCACGTCGGTCCAAGCGCGCCAGTTCTCTGGGTGCGGGTGATTCTTACTTGTGCGCACACCATGTGCAAAAATACCACAAGCAAGTACGACGGATTTGTTCATGAGACAGAGACGAGTTGCTGCACCTCATGAAGAGCAACGTTCGGCCAACCAGAAGCTCCAGTTCACCGGCCAGATTCCAGAAGTATCCAGACGTGAAATCAGAAAGCACTAGCCGATCTGCTCAGAACTCGCCTGCGACCAGTCTCCAAAGCCCGGCGACTTAGCGTAGTAGGTGTCCATTATTGTTGTCGTCCGCCCATTCTGCGGTTGTGGCTATTACAAGCACAACGTGTGTAGACATGACTGCGCACAAAAGATCATTATGCATCGGGATAGCTGTCATACCCTTGCCTATACGTCGCTACATGCGGAGGAACGGCGGTAGGGGAGGGATCGAAGGCCCGAAACTGAGGCAAGGGGCGTGAGGCCACTCCTGTGCACGGGAAGCAACGGCAATGCAACCGGCTCCATCTCCTCCTGCGACAATGTACTGCCTGCCCGGCATTCGGATTCGGGCTGACATTGTGCGTCGCTTCTACCAACACCTCGGCCGGAATGTCGCAGTGCGAGTGCCCGCAGCACAGCCACCGTGCCCCAGGACTATTCCAATTGAGTGCCGGGGTTTGCTTCAGTTTCATCTTCATCTTGCTTTTGCCTTGGCTGGAGTGTCCCGGAAGCCGCAAGCCTCCAGACCAGGCGAATCATGCAAGATCCTTGGTTGGACCGATAGAAGGAAGTCATGCCGAGCCCGTCGTGCTCAACAAAGCACTGACGCGTGGAGTATCATAGATTCGTGAGTAGTTGTTCACATGGACCTTAAGGTGGGGCACATACATATCCGAAGCGGGAACACACACTGGATTGGCGGGAGCTGACGACTCGAGACCTTGCAGCTCTTGGGAAATTCGCAATCCTTTGAATTGACAGGCTAGATCGCCTGTTTGATACGACGTTCTCCCTCAGCAAACTACGCATTGAGCTTGAATCAGAGGCCGTCGCTGTCGAAGAGCTGGCAGACAAAGCTGCTTGAATGAATCGTTTCCTCTGGTCATGCGTGCACAGAGCCGAGCACTCTGCAGTTTTGAGGCCTGACAAGCCTGCCTACCCGGTCCGAGGCTCAACACAACAACTCTCAGAAGCCAGAATTGCGCTGACATGTGTGTTCCACTTATGATCGGTTGCGTGTTCTGATCTCCTGTGCAGCGGATAGACTCCCCTTGGCACGTGGCTGTCATCTCCGGAATTCGCCCGTGTTCGTAAAGCTGTTCGTTTCACCCGACAAGAACACGCCGGAAGCAAAGCAGCGGTGTGTCGTGGACAGCTTCCACCGTAGCAACCTAGTACCGAAACAACTCGCAAACAAGTTTGAAGCCCTAAGCCCCGGAGTGTGGATTTTTCGCGATGTGCAGCGCTCCATACATGTAGTGGCTCAGGTTTAGACCCATGCATCCTTCAGTGCACACATCAGCTTGCTACTGAGGCGCGCAGGGCGGCTTCTTCTCCGTGAGGCGTCCACTTTCTACACGGCTGTCAACATGTGGGTCAGCGATGCATGAATCAGCTTCCGTCGTCTCGGATATTCCGAGGCTGTACATGTATGCAGGGGCGCAGGAGTAAAAACCCTCTTGCTGCCAGGCCAGACTTTAGTGTTCACTGCATGCCTGGGATGGATCGTACGACTGTGAAACTTGGTGATGAAACCATGCATGCTCGGATAGCCACCCCAGGTATTGCACTGCCGCACTTAGCCCGTCCCACCTACGCAGTCAACTGCGGAAGGACGGTGCTTCTGCGATTAACGTCCATGCTGTGATCCGCAGGGCGCAAAGGAGCCCAACAGCCTTCACCCGCCAAAGACCCGCGGCTTTCGGAGTGTAAAATGTTTTTCGGCCTGGGCTGATCGAATTTTAAGAGGTTGTGTTTCTCAGTGCAGTCTAAAGCGTAAAGCTTGCCCAATCCTGCCTGCAGATCGTCGCTCAACAACACATCCAACAAGTATTGTGCACATGCTCGATCACTCTGTTCGTGCAATTTTTCAAGCATGCCACTCTTCTTGCATGGTGCCATCACGGTACCCTCACGGTTTCAATGGGTCATAGTAGGATGTCATAGGCCATAGGCCACAGCTTCAGACTGCGTTCGGTCGAATGGCCGCTCCTGCCAGGAGCGTATGCATGCCGACGGCACGCGTAAAAATGCGGACTTACGCTTCTTGGTGGTCACAGCTCATGATGTGAACTACAAGATTGGGTTTTTGTGCTCAGTGGTGAATGAAGCATATTGCAAGAAGCATGGCTACGGTTTTGCAAGGGTCGTGCGCAGCCAAGAGGAAATGCACAAATTGTCATCGGGGCGGCACCTTGCGTGGGGAAAAGTGGCTATCCTCAGAGACCTTTTGCAGAGGTCAAGGAAGGCAGCTTCTCCCTGCGTTGAGATCAGGGCGCAGGATTTTGACTATGTTGTCTGGATTGATGCTGATGCGATGGTTTTGAACCACAACCTGAAGCTTGAACACTTTGTCACAGTGGCACAAGAAGCTGACTTCATCATCGGTGAAGACATGGCAGATACTGATTTTCTCAACACTGGCCTAATGTTCTTCCGTACTTGTTCTGAATGGTGCGAGGATCTTCTTCTGAAGTGGTGGAAGGACAGCGAAACCAGATGGCATCAGGAAGTATGCTGGGATCAAACCGGTCTGTGCTGCTTGCTGCAAGCACAGGGCCTTTTGGACCAGAAGGACCATTGGTTTAGCTGGTGTGGGGGACCACAGTATAAACGAAGGCGGAAAATGTTTGTTTTTGATTGCGGCAGTTTCAACTTCAAGTATCTCAACAACTGTAAATTTGTATTTCATGCGGTTGGAGAACGAGAGCTTGCTTTCTCGTTCTCGCGCCAGCTGCTGCGAAAGGAGGACCGGCTGTACGCAGCTGTACGTGATGGCTTCGTCGAAGATGGCCGGGATGTGGACGTGCTTGAAGATTCGAGTTCGGTGCATCTCATGCGCTCTGGTGATCTTGACTCAGCTATCTTACAACTACAGCATGCTCTACAGTTCTGGCGGGCATACGGTATGTCTCGTTCCGGAATAGCTGGGCAGCCTCCACCCCTTAATTGGGGCTGTCAGATGCCAGCCTTGTGCCTCAATGGCGCAGATCTTGTGGCATCATCAGAGGCTTCTGCTGTGCTGCAGCTGCGTGAGGTGTTGTCCGCTCGCAGATCGCCAGTGATTGTCGCTTGTCCCGACTTGCCTCAAAACCGTCTAAGCTATTCGCACATTTTGAATGCACTGGGTGAGGTGCCGGTACGTTTACAGCGTCCAGCACCGAACGGCAAACATGGTCTCATCACGTGCACAGCCCGATTCTGGCAGCTCTGGGACTACGCCACGGGCTGCCCCCCACCATTCTCTCCACTCAGCGCCACCAGCAACAGCCCGTGGTGTCTCGGGGGTTGGAATCAATGGCAGCTGGCGCCAGAAGCTCCAAGCCTGCTGGAAGCTGCGGCCTCGTTTCCGTCCTGGATGCATCAGGCATGTGCCGGGGCTGGGCGGGGGGGTTGGGGAGGGAGTTGGGCATGCCATGCTCCCTTTCTCTTGCTCTTTGGCGTGTTGCCTGCCTTTTTCAGCTCACAGGGCCGCAGCAGAGGCTGAAGGCACATGCATGGGGAAGTGGGGTTGGTTCGGTGGTAGGAGAGCCTGCTTAGAGCCTGATAGCTGCGAGTGGTGTTCATGGACGCGACATGGACATGATGGAGCAAATGGTTGCATTCGCCGTGGGGAAGGCCGGCAGCTTGGACGATGAGGCGTCGGACCCAGCAAGGCGCCGGCATCACGAGGAAGGCTCTGTGCCAAGCAAGAAGGCCCGACTTCTCTGCCGGCCTCGCTTCTTGGTGAAGCCTGTGTTTGCACAGCACCCCAATACAGACGAGTATGTCGCGGCTGCGAGCAGGACCTTGGAGCAGGCCTGACTGCGTTAAGTCTTGGTGTGGAACCGATTCTTGGATGGGGTTACGGGTTGAGTGTGAGCTCCCGTTGCTAGGATAGCTGTTGGAAAACGGCAGATTCGGAGACACACGGCTTGTTCGGCTCCAAGCGTGTAAGCTTCCCTGATTGAAGCAGACCTCTGTAGCCACTGCAGAATGCGGAATCTGTGGCGATGGTGGTGGCGGCGGGGGTGAAAATACTCGGGTGCTCGTCAGAGTGTTGATGTTGGTTTCGCTTGCATTTGTAGATTTGGCGACAGTGAGAGATCAGGCTCACAGTAGGTGGCCAAGGTCTGGCATCATGCCAGTGTGGCGCGACAATCATAGCTTGTTGACCCACGAAAGCATGCTCGGATTCATTGAATTCATGGCTGCCGCATTTGGGGCGGCAACTTTGGTTGGATAAGTGGTTAAGGCAGTTCAATCCCTGGTCGATGGACCAACCAAGTGGTTTTGTGAACCTCTGCCCATTTTGATGGAATCAACGACCGTCGCTCTTGCACTGACTTCGACTACTAGTGCCAACACAGGTTCTCCCACTGGCACCGCTACTTACGCTTGTACGAATCCGGATCAATACTGTAGTGTTTCTTATTTCTGCTACGGTTAGGTTTGAACTTACCACGACCACTGCCACTGTCGCTGCTACTACCACAACCACCACCACACCACCCCACCACCGCCACCTCACCGCCGCCGCCGCCGCCACCGCCACCGCCACTGCCACCACCACTGCGACTACGACTACGACTACATTGACTACTACTGCTACTCTGACTGCTACTGCGACTGCTGCTACTACTGCTGTTGCGGCTGCGACTGCGCATGCTACTGCGACCGCTGGTGCTACTGCTTTGCTGCTGCTGCTGCTGC